TTTTCCCAAGTCACTTGTAGGTGTAAAGCCTAGAAAGTCGCTTAATTCCTGTCGTTTAACATGGTTCACGTTCTTTGAGAAATAAATTCTCGACTTGCTGTTATTAACTTTTTCACCTGAGGCCAGGCAAAAATCATCTAGACAAGCTTTAATCAGGCCTGCCTGGTCCATGCTAGCTTCAGCAAATAGGAAAAGATTGTCGGCGAAGAAAAGATGGGAAATCTGTATCCCATTCTTTTTTAGTTGAAAAGGGATCCAATTGCCTTCAAAAACTTCACTCTGGATGAGATGTGCTAGTTTTTCCATAACTAAGACAAACAAATAAGGTGAGATAGGATCACCTTGGTGGATACCACGTGACGGGTTGAAACTATCCCCTTTTGCACCATTCCACAAAATTCTCATTTCAACAGAGGATATGCACTGATAAATAAGGTCAATGAAATTTGCAGGGATATTAAGCTCCCTAACGCATTGGATAATGAAATCCCACCGGACTCTATCATAGGCTTTCTCCAAGTCAATTTTCAGAGCCATGAACCCCTTTTTCTTCTTCATCGTTCTCATAGAGTGAATAATCTCCTGTGCCAGTATTATATTATCAGATATTTGTTTGCCCGGGATAAAACTGCATTGATTCGGTCCCACCACACTTGGTAGAAGCTTCTTTAGCCTGTTAGCTAAGAGCTTAGTCACTCCCTTATAAATCACATTACACAGACTTATCGGTCGGAAGTCGCAGAAATTCTGGGGTTTATCAATCTTAGGTATCAAGGCTATATTGGTTCCATTCACCCTTTTAATCTCCGTTGGGTGTTGAAAAACAAAGTCTACAAAATGAAACACTGAAGGGCCCACCACGTCCCACTGGCTTTGGAAAAATAATGGGTTTAGTCCATCTGGTCTTGGAGCTTTTAAAGGCCCCATGTCGAAGATAGCTTGTTTTACTTCTTGCGCCGTTACACTCCGACCCATAGACATAAGAGTTTCGTTATCAACCTGGGGAAACGTGCAGCCGAACAAGATATTGTTGTGTACAGTACCATCTTCTAGGAAAAGATTCTGATAAAAGATCGTACCTCTCTTCTTCAATTCTTCTTGGTCATAGCACCAATCACCATTTTCCACCTGTAAAGCTTCCACAAATTTCCTCTTTCTTCTACAATTTGTGACGGTATGAAAGTACCGTGTATTTTTGTCGCCTTGGGAGTACCAGTTGCACCTTGATCTCTGGAGCCACATGATTTCTTCCTGTATAAGACATTTTTCTAGTTCCATCCATACTTCATTCATTCTGCGTTCCCAGAACTCACTAAGTCCCCCTCTAGCATTCATATACTCTATCTCCTTTAAAAGAGAAGCCTTTCGTTTATTTATGTTGCCAAAGACTTCTTTGTTCCAGTGTGTGACTTCATCCTGGAACTTTTCTACATTTTCTTCCCATTGTCTCTCTGATCTCCACGAATTTTTCACCACCCTTGGAAACTCCTCATGTGTCACCCACGGCGCGAAAAATCGGAATGAAGTATCTGGTTTATACCTTGGACCGCTCTTATCTAACCTTAGTAGCAGAGGGCAGTGATCAGATTTTAGCTTTGGTAGATGCAGGACTACTGCCTCCGAATAAGCTTCATACCATTCCGGGTTTGCAAGCACTCGATCAATCCTGCTGTACGAACCACCACGGTGCCACGTAAATTTGGGGCCTTGGAAGTCAATCTCGTTCACGCCATTATCATGAAACCACCTGACGAAATCATAGTCTGGACCCCTTACTGATTGCGTGGCTGACTTCCTCTCAGCTATATTTAGAGTGGCATTAAAATCACCGCCTATGCACCACCTGCCAACACCCTGTTCTTTAATCTCATGGAGTTGCTGCCAAAGGCCTCGTCGGATAGTAGGATTAGGGTGTCCATAAACTATAGATAAGTCCCAGGCTTCTTGTTCATTCAAGTTAAACGTCCCATGCAACACTTGTGAGCTCTTACTCTTGACCACAAAGTCCACATCCTCATCCCAGAAGCACCAGATTCCACCACTAAAACCAGTAGCATCGACTATGTCCTGGTTCTTGAAGCCGACTCTCTTCGCTATTTTCTTCGCTCGTTCGCCAGATTGCCTGGGTTCCAATAAAGCTAAAAATTTTAATCCGTGCCTTCTTTTTAACTCTACCAAAAGACCCACAAACGCTTTTCCCCCTACTCCACGAGAGTTCCATATTAGTATATTGTTCATCATGATTACCATAATTATTTTGGGGTAAGCACGGGAGAAGTCCGTCATTGGTCGGCCAGAACCAGAGACCTATGCTCAATCATCATTTCATCTTCGGGCCCAGCTGACAGTGTGTTAGGGAGGGCATAAACTTTGTTCCCCTCCTTCTCACCTGGGTCTATGGGATCGTCGTCCTCTATGTCTCCCAGGTTGACGTCATCTTGATCCTGTACAACTGTTGTTGCCCCTTCCGTTGCCAAACTTGGTCATAATCCATTCTGGTGTGACCCTCCCAGCCCAGGTAGTGTTTGTAGAGATCCCGGCCTGTCCGAATCCAGTTTATCCTTGGCCCTCATCAGCACCGCCATTTCACTTTGTCCAGGCCCTCGATTAAAACGGCCCACTATGTTAGTTGCCATTGACACAGTCTCCCTTGGTCCATTTTCAACATGACTCCTCCTTGGCCCCACACGCGTTCCCTTTTCAATATTATCTAAATTCTTCCCGCCGTTAGTCGATTCCCTATGATTTGTTACCTTGCCTGTATATCCGTCCTCCTCAAATTTCGGTGAAGTGTCAGGGATTGGATCTTCTGCTATATTCAAAATTTGAAACCGAGAACCTCGACCCCCATTGAAAGTACCCCTGAAGTCTCGCCGGTTTTCACTCTGTTTCCCGTTCAACTGTCCTTACCAACGAGGTCACCGTGGGCATTGGACCACCATCCAGTTATCGTACTCTACCGCCGCCGGTCTTTGGTTCCTTGCATCTTCCTCTTCCCCTTTACTCAGTTCGCTTTCTACCGTCGATGGGTGTTCTGCTTGGCTTGTGCTACTGGAGTTCGGATCAGGTTGCTTACTCGTGGGGGCTACCTTACCTTGAGACACTTCTTTCTTGAAAGTGCAGTGATCACAATCGTGTCCGTATCTCCCACAGCTAAAGCAGATCAGGTGGATGCCTTCATATTGGATTCTTTGTGCCTTACCATTAATCAAGATCATCGGTCGAAGAGGCGCCTTTAGATCCAGTTCCACACATATCCTTGCGAATCGCCCTTTCTTGCGTTTTAGAGTGGCATTATCAATCTTCAGGACCCTCCCTACCTGTGAGCCAAATACATGCAGGAGACCAGTGTCGTAATAATCCATGGACAATTTCGGAATGCGTAGCCACGCCGCAATAGTCGATATTTGTTCTGTTTCAGGGTCAAAATCTGGCTTCCACTTTTGGACTGCGATGTAGTGGTCATACAGTAACCAGGGGCCACCTGTTAGAGCTAATTCCAAGTCAGACATATGCGAAAATTGCACTACGAAGAAACCTTCCCCTACGTCAATAGCATTAACCTCCCCCTGTTTCGCCCAAAGCTGTTGCAATTTTTGTTCGAAGAAATCCGAATTGATCATTCTACCCAGCAACTTTACAATCAGCGCATTCTTCCAACGGTTCCCTAGTCTTTCTTTCTCCTCTGGGGGGATAATTACGTTCGGACCCCTGTCCGTCATAACAACCTTGATTCTCTCCTTCCATCTTCCATTGCTCCACCAATCCTCCTCCTCTTCCACCTCGTCCGGTTCTTTGGTCACAGCTGCCTTGAACGACTTCCATTTCTTCCTCAGTGTGTCACCCTTATTCGGCTCATGCCGCTCTCTTGTTCCCTTCGATTCGTCCATCCTAGACTCATCCTCTTGCATAGGTAGTTCCACGTTACTCCCATTAACATTCATCCATTCTTCGACCCTCGGTGTGAGAATCTGCGTATTGGAGAACGTAGCTTCATCGGCCCGAACCTTTTTTCGACTTCTGTCTAGGGCATCTTGTTCCTCCGGCGACGGCGCTGGCCGTAGGTTTTCTCTCACGCACATGCTCATCTCTGTGTCTATCATTTTCTATGTTGGGTGACTGATTTCGGTTTTGAATAATTAGGGATATTAACTGTATTTTTCACTATATACAACCTATTAACTAAAAATTTTATTCTTTTAATTTTTTTTAATAGTTGAAAACTATGAATTTATATTATTTATATCTCAGTAACAGTATAATTTTGTTGAATTTTTATGTAATTCTTAATTTTTTAATCTATATATTTATTATGTGCCAATTTTTTTGAGTTTTCATTGTTAACTTAGTTTAATAATTCACATCAGTATGAATGAACAATTATACTAATGAAATATAAATTGTTATAAGATATAAAGTTTACAAACAAATTATGTTATTTATGACGACTAGCGGTATAACTTTCTGGAATTTTTAGTTTTTTTCCCCATATATTTTCTTAGAATGTGCCAGTTTTCATGTTTATTCCCAAACAACGGAAAAGAGAGGGGCTTATAAGCTATGACAATTCACTCAGACCAAAATGAATAAACACGAGGACATATCAGACTGTAATAAGAAGAAGAGAAAAGTAGTCCATCTCCATGTGATGATTTGTAATTTGTTTTGTGGCATCATGTTTCGGGTACCAATTATGATATTCCTTCAAAAATTCAATCTTTGAAGTCTTCCCTCCGTCATTAGCTATTTCTGTTTAATCTTTACTTTATGAACATGTATCACTTGCTTCTTTCACTGCGTTCTCGTGTTGATCATCCCTTTGTATTTGTCTTCTATGTAGTACTTGCTCAACGACTACTGTGCAAAACCATGGCGTTCCTTCCGTTAATGTTCTAGTTCATCCTTGTTTACCGTCTATTTTCCTATCTCAGAAAGAAAGTTATTATAGTGTACCATAAGAAAACAGAGAGAAGAAAACCAAAAAGAGAGAGAACAGAAGAATGGAGTTTATAGCGACCATTTTTGGGACAGTGTTCAATGGTATGGTAGAACCTGTTAAACGACAACTAGGTTACCTTTGCAACTACAGAAGCAATGGTCAGGAGCTACGAAGCCATGTAAAGGAACTCCAAGATCAAAGGGCGAGTGTGATAGTTCGAGTTCGAGGTGCTGAAAGAAATGGTGAGAACATTCACGATGTTGTCACCAATTGGTTGACGAAGACAAGTGAGAAGATTGCAGAAATTGAGGAGTTTCAAAGCGATGAAGGCCACCAGAAGACGGGGTGCTCCTATGGTTCATTTCCTAACTTGAAGATAAGGCATAAGCTTGGCAGACAAGCAAGGAAGATGATCCCACACTGTGTTGATCTGCTGCAGCAATCAAACTTTGCTGCTTTTTCTTATCGTCCAGAGCTCGAAGCATCGGATGTTGCTCTTTATGATGATGGTTATGAGCCATTTAAATCAAGAGATGCCATTGCAGTACAGGTTATGAAAGCGCTAGGTGATCCCACAATTAAAATGATTGGTATCTATGGTCAAGGAGGTGTTGGCAAAACCACTTTAGTTAAAGCAGTTGCAAGGAAGGTGAAAGCAGAAAAGCTATTCAATGTTGTGGTTATGGCAAATATTACGAGCACTCCTGATGTTAGAAAGATTCAAGGAGAGATAGCAGATATGCTAGGCTTGAGATTGGATGACGAGAGTGAGATTGGAAGAGCGGGTCGTTTGAGACAGAGATTCAAGAAGGAGAAGGAGAACACCTTAGTCATCTTGGATGATCTTTGGGCTAGACTTGACCTGAGTCTACTGGGAATTCAGTTGAAGGATGATGACATGAGTCAGAAAACAATCGCAAATATGTCTAACATTGGTCATGACCAGTTGAAAGACGACAAGATGGCAAGTGATTCCAAAAAGTTCAAGATTTTGTTGACTTCTCGACACAAAGAGGTATTGTCAACTGAAATGGAAGTAAAGGATTCAATTTTTAAAGTGAATGTCATGGAGGAAGAAGAATCAGAGATGCTGTTCAACAAGGTGGCTGGAATAACTAATGATGATTCTGAGTTGAAATCAATATCATCTAAAATTGTTCTTAAATGTGCAAATTTGCCATTGGCAATAGAAGCAGCTGGAAAAGCTTTAAAGAATAATAAGAACAAAGTTGCTTGGCAAAATGCGCTGCAACAATTGGAGAAGCAAGAAATGATTGAAGTATTAGAACCTGTGGAGTTTTCTACGATGTTAAGTTATGATCGCTTACAAAGTGAAGAGCTGAAGTCTATTTTCTTGCTTTGTGCTCGCTTGGGTAAGGATCCATCAATTATGTATTTGGTGAAATATTGCATTGGTTTAAGGATATTTCAAGAAGTCAACACGATGAAAGAAGTTCGAGGTAGAACAAATGAATCTATCAAGAAGTTAAAAGACTCAAGCTTGTTGCTGGATACTAATTCTCCTGATTGTGTTGCTATGCATGATATGATCCGTGATGCCGCCTTATCAATAGCTTACAAGCATAATGGTGTTTTTACCCGAAGATATGCTGAGCTTGATGAATGGCCTGATAGAGAAACATTTGAAAAGTATACTGTTATCTCCTTGCACTACTGCGACATCATTGATGGGATTCCAGAAGGTATAAATTGCCCTCAGCTCAAAGTCTTCCATCTTGATAGTAAGGATCCTTCCATGAAAATACCAGACAAGCTTTTTGAAGGAATGAAAGAATTAAGAGTGTTAATATTGACTGGTATTGATCTATCAGGCTTCCCTTCTTCAATTAAATGCCTAATAAAGCTTAGAATGCTTTGTTTGGAGAAATGTGTGCTAGGTGACAACATATCAATCATTGGTGAGTTGAAGAAGTTAAGAATTCTAAGCCTTTTGGGATCTAAATTTGAATTATTGCCTAGTGAATTAAGGCAGCTAGGGATGCTGCAATTGTTGGACATCAGTTCTTGTACTAAACTTAAAGTGATTCCATCTAATGTCATGTCAAAGTTGAATAGGTTGGAAGAGTTGTATATGGGAAAAACCTCGATCCCATGGGGTGTTGAAAGAAAAACAAATCACAATGAAATTGCTAGCCTTGCTGAATTGGAATCTCTTCAACAATTGAGAAATCTTGATATACACATAGAAGATATTACAACTTTGCCTAGTAGCTTGGACTTTGACAAGTTGGATAGCTATAAAATTATGATTGGGGACTCTAAGATGCTTTTGTTGGAAGATTTTCAGATGCCTTATCAATACAAGGCTTCAAGAGTCTTGGCATTGGATCTAAAAAAGGATATTGATATTCATTCGCAAAGGTGGGTTAAAATATTGTTGAAAAATGTTGAACAGTTGCTTTTAGGGGAAGTAGATGGTCTTCAGAATCTTACCTATGAGTTAGATGTTGAAGGATTTCAAAGTCTTAAGCATTTAACCATTGAAAAAAATTGTGACATCAAGAATATAATCTACTCAACAAAGTGGGAATATCAGGTGAAGGCTTTTCCCTGGTTGGAGTCAATGTGTTTGTACAAATTGGAGAGCCTAGAGAAAATTTGCAATTGTCAACTCAGAGATGTCTCTTTTCAAAGTCTAAAAACCATGAGGATCAACATTTGTGGCAGACTAAAATATCTCTTCTCATTGGACATGACTAGACTTCTCGTAAAGCTTGAAACACTTGAAGTTTCTGAATGTGATTCTTTGGAGTATCTTGTTTTTGCGGAAAGACAAGATAATATTGGTACTGATTCAGAAGATGATAGAATTTCATTACCCCAATTACGCTATTTGACATTGCAATCTTCATCAAATTTAACATGGTTCTATGCAAATGACAAGATGGAGAGTGCCACAGATTGTATTCCATTATTTAATGCAGAGGTACGTACGCAATGGACTTTCAATACATATATTTCTCTTTACTTTTTAATTTATACATTTTAGATTATATTTACTTTAAAATCGAGGGCGTTGGCATGGCATGGCTTTTAAAGTTTTACTTTCTTACAAAACTTGTTTATGAAAATCATAATCAGTTACTTTCAAGGTTGAAATTTCTTGTGCGCTTTTTGCAGGTATCAGTTCCCAACCTAGAGAGCTTGGAGTTATCCTTAATCAATATTAAGAAGGTGTGGGGTGACCAACCATTGCCAAGTTCCTCCTTTCAACATTTGACCAAATTAAATGTGAATGAATGTGGTAATTTAAAATATTTATTTTCATTATCAATGGTTGGGAATTTAATGAAATTGAAAAGCCTTTTTGTAAGAGGATGCGATATGATGAAGGATATCTTTGACCCAACAGATATTAGTGCAAGTCAGGTATGCGGTTCTATGAGATTTGATTGGACACAAAAACTAGGCATTATCTTTCTTTTGTTATCTTGGTTACAAAATGACTACTTTGATTCATACACAGGATGTTGACATCTTTCCACAATTAAAGAAAATTGAAATCAACAACATGGAGGAATTGAAAACCATATGGCATGCCCGAGCTAGCATAAATTCTTTTTGCAGTTTGGAATCTATGATAATTAGAGACTGCCACAAACTTGTCACTATTGTCCCTCCTTACATGGTAGAAAGATGTCATAATCTTGGCATATTGGAGGTTACTAATTGTAAGTCAGTGGAAGAGATATTCAACTTCTGCCAGCCTTTACCACAAGTAAGTGGTGAGAATGAAACAAGCTTGCGAGTTGTTAACTTACAAAGGCTGCCAAAATTGAAGCATGTGTGGAACAAGGATCCTCAAGGACTTTTGAACTTTCAAATTCTGCGAGACGTTTTTGTCTGTGACTGCCCAAGCCTAGAAAATCTGTTTCCATTTTCTATTGGCAATGATCTTACGAAACTGGAGAAGCTTGTGATCGTGCGTTGTGATGGCATGAAGGAAATTGTAGCTAAAGGTGACGTATCAGATATAAGCAACTTAGTGTTTGAGTATCCTAAGCTAAACACACTTGTATTACTCGATCTACCGGAGCTGAGGTGTTTCTATCAGGGAACACATGCTATAGAGCTTCCAGCATTGACCTCTTTATTATTTGGTTTTTGTTACAAGCTGGAAGCATTTGGTACTGAAACAACTCATTCCCAAGTGAAACCAATTCTCTCATCTTTAGCAAAGGTACAATAACAACAATCATTGACAAGACATTTAGAAGTATAAATAAATTTCTAAAAAGCAGTGCATATACTTTACTCACACATGTGTCTCATTCTTTGCTTTTTCTTTGTATGATGGCAAAAAAGTACATATGCATGTATACAAGATTTGTTTTTAATTTAATTAATATAAATGTTTAATTTCTTCTTCTAAAATTGTACTTTTTCCCATGATGATTTTTAGGTGATATCCAACTTGGAGGAACTAGGAATACATGGGATGAAGGAAAGGAAATGGTTGCAGGACACCATTGGCGATAATGTTTATCTAATGCACAACACAAAACTGCTAGACTTTGATGGATTGAGCAGCATTGAAATTCTCCTTTGGTTTCTCCACATATTTCCTAATCTAGAAAGCTTAAATTTGTCCAATTCTGTTCTCAAAGAGGTTTTGCCTATTGAAAGTCATGTTTTCCTCGAGAAAACTGGAACTGTCGTACAGCTTAAAAACATGAGTTTACGGTGGTCAGGTATTCCATTGAATATAGGCTTTGAAAATGGTGCCATTCTTCAACGAGTTGAGAAGCTATGCATTATTGATTTTTACTCTTCGACAAACTTAATTCCTTCTTCCGTAGGATTAACTCACTTGTCATATCTTGAAGTCAGGAATTGCAACAGATTAAGGAATTTATTGACATCATCAACTGCAAAAACCTTAGTTCAACTGACTATAATGAAGGTTTCTGACTGTGCAATGATGGAGGAAATTGTTACCATGGAGGAGAATGAAGAAGAGAAAGAAGATGAGATTGTTTTTGGCAAATTGAAAAGTTTAGAACTTATGTCTCTAAGAAACCTCGCAAGTTTTTGTAATTCCCAAAGTAAACTTGTCTTCAGGTTTCTGTCACTTCAAGAGGTGAAAGTAAGCGACTGCCTTAAGCTGAAAAAATTCTCTGAGAACATTATAAGCACACCAAAATTAGAAAAAGTTGATATTGTAGCAGGGGAAGAGGGAGATAAATGGTACTGGGAAGGTGATTTGAATTCAACAATCCAAAAAATTTTCACGGACAAGGTACCTACTATTATACTTTAACATGATCATGTGAATCCTAATTAGAAATATTATAATCAATTATCCAAGTCAAAGAAAAGATTTTTATTCTTGCAGTAAAAAAATTGCATTCTTATTACTTTATTAAGATTAGCCTAATGACATCTAAAGTTATTTGATTTTGTAGGTTCTTTTTGAGTTCTGTCAGAATATAGAACTTTCTTGTTATCCTGAGCTACAACAACTGTGGCGGGAAGAAATTTCCCCGCCAACCAACTGCTTTAACAATCTAAGAACATTGATAGTGAAGAATTGTTCATTTCTGTCAGAAGTGTTTCCTTCTAGGTTACTTCCTTACTTTAAGAAATTGGAGGAATTGCAAGTAAGCTCGAGTCCAGTGAAGGTTATTTTTGATATTGATGGCAACAATTTGACAGAAATAAAGGGAAAGCCCTTTTATTTGAAAAGAGTTACTTTAGATGGATTGCAGAATTTGAAGTGTATCTGGAGCAAAGATCCTCATAGTATTATGAGTTTTCCAAATCTGAAAGAAATTATTGTTTCTAATTGTGCGGGTATAAAAAATCTTTTTCCAGCATCTTTGGCAAGAAATCTGGTGAGACTCAAGAAACTTGAAATAAGGCAATGTCATGCTTTGGAAGAAATTGTCGGAAAGGAAGAAGCCGTGGCAGAGGGAGCTAGCAGAAAATTTGAATTCCACTATTTAACCACTTTGACTATGTACCATTTACCAAGCCTCAAGTTCTTTTATCCTGGAAGATACACTCTGGAATTTTCCATCTTGGTGAGTCTAAGCGTGTTTGATTGTAATAAATTAGAAATATTCTCATCTGATTTTCGAAGTCACCAGGGAGCAATAAGATGTGAGGATGAAGCCAATATTTCGGCTAGCAGAAAATCTCTTTTCATGGATGGAAAGGTAATTTGATCTTCATTTCCATCATTCCTTTACTTTCTTTTTCTTGTATTGTGAAAAGGAAGTATCTATTTACATAATCCTTATTCTTATTCTTTGTTGTTTGTTTTCACTAATAGGTTATTCAGAACTTGGAATTTTTAACTCTCAATGGGAATGATGTGATGATGTTATCACATGGATATTTTCCTGATAACCTGCTTCACAAACTAAAAACTTTGCATCTGGACTTTGGTGATTCCTATGAAGCAGGGGCTACTTTGCCTTTTAAATTCTTTCAGAAGGTACCTAATTTAGAAAGTCTCATCGTAAGTAATTGCAATGCATTGGATGAGATGTTCCCCTCTCAAAGACCCGAAGATATTGATCATGTCACCGATGCTCTTGGACAAGTGAGAGAATTAGAGCTATATTCGCTGCCGTTGCTCTCATCCATTGGGCTAGATAACTCCTGGGTGGACTCAATTGTTAAGAATCTGAGAGCGCTTCGAATGAGGAATTGCCCTCGTTTGACTATTCTGGTGCCTTCCTCTGCATTATCATTTTGCAATTTGAAAGAATTGGTAATAGTGCAATGCCACGGGTTAGTTTCTCTGTTCTCATCTTCAGTGGCCAAGAGTTTGGTGCAACTTCATAGAATTGTGATAACTGAATGTGGATCAATAACACACATAGTGAGTCATGAGATTGATGAATCAGACTCAGATGAGATAATATTTGAAAGGCTTCAACATATAGCTTTGAGTGATTTGCCAAGCCTAGTGAGCTTTTATTCAGGGAATGCCACTTTAGAATTCTCTGCTCCGCTATCGCCTGCCATCAAAGAATGCCCAAAGATGAAATGTTTCTCTCAAGGGATTGTAAGAGCGCCCAACCTCAAAGGAATAGAATATTTCAGGGACAACGAATATGATTGGCACAACTACAGTGATCTCAACACCACGATGCAGAAATCGTTCAATGAGAAGGTAATAAGTATTCATTCCCCAGCATAATTACATACACATATGACCGTAATGACAACTTTAATCAGCATACAATCTGGTTCCCATTTTTAATTTCTTGTTTTTAATTGACTGTTAATTTTTAATTAACTTATTATAATTATCATAATTTCATAGAAAAACATTTTTGAATTAGCAAATCACAAATAAATAGGAGTTGAATATCATTATAATTATATCGACTTAAACTACTTTTTCATTCTTTAGACGCCGGTGCTATTCTAGTTAAGAACAATTGTATATTTTTTTGGGTTACTTGGAGAAAACTGTAATAATCTTATATTAGTCAAAACAATACCCCAAGTTAACATAACAACTAATTAACATTTATATTTGCAAAATTAGTAGCTTTTATACAATCAGAATAATTCTAATACATATTTTCAAACTTTCTGATTTCTGATATATTATAAGATTTATTAATTTTGATTATATTTATATTATAAAACTTTACAATTCTAATTTTTCCTCACATTTGCTGAATTTTATTTATTTAATTTCTTTTAAATGGTTAAACATATATTTCAGCACACATTTTTATTTATCATATTGTATAAATTATTTGAACTTATAATTTAAAATTTTTAAACACACTTTTTCCTATGAACATTTATAAACTTAATTAGTTAAGTATAATTATAATTCCTAACGTCTCATTGTGCAAGCAATAATTACTTTAAATAGCCATATTTTTAACTGTTTTATGAGTATCTTGAATTAATAATTTATTATGTTTGCATATTTAAAGCAATGAAGCGAGCAAGTTATTTTATTTAGTTTTTTAACTAACAACATCAACAAACTTTTAAAACGCTATACGTATTCAACTCTACTTACTGATGCTTCTATTTCTATTGGTTTTCATTCAAATATTTGAACTATATATCTTATATGTTTTTTTTTCTTTTTTTGCCATTTCAAGCTCGATAGATGCAAAGCCATCTCTATTTTCCTCATGTATAATCACTATGCATCATGTTAATTCCTGTTTAATCTCATATTTGTTTCAACATTTTTATCTCAACTTCTCCAATTTTTTGCCGTCACCTTCCCACCGTTCTTTCCAACATAACATCAAGGCCTAACATTCATGGCCAGATGGCATCATTGGTCTTGTAAATATTTGATAAAAATTTCCTCTAAAATTAGCGCATATTTTTCAGTCAAAAATAATTTTTAATTCCTTCCTCTATCTCAACTACCCAACTCCTATCTTATATGCAAAACGTGTTGGTCAATGTCTTAGTTATCTTGCAATATAAATCTTCGTTATGTTGCACTTTAACACTTGTAAATTTATTGATTTTTGTTAAAATGAGTTTAATTACGTTGAGTCTATAAATGTTCTTGTAGAGGAAAGTTTAACTTTTTGCGTTAGAAATGAAAATGGCGAAACTATGTAATATTTCTTTTTTTTTTTTGGGCAAGCATAATATTCATTGAAATCCCAAAGAAAGTTGTGGGGAAAAAGTCGATGGTAAGAAGTGACAGGTGGCTGATAAACTGAAGTAATATTAATTATTTATGATTTGCACATATAAATATTATGAAAGTCATAGAAATAACATAGCTGAACTGTTTTGCTCCAGCAGCTTGAACAATTTACATGTGGTGTGCAAGAGTTAAAGCTTGGAGATCACCCTGAGCTTGGAGACATATGGCAAGGTGCAATGTCAGTCTTAACTGGAGGCTTCAGCAAGCTGAAGACTTTGATAGTGGATCGTTGCCAATTTTTATCAAATTACGTGATCCCTTTCCGTTTGCTTGGCTTCCTGAGTAACTTGGAAGATGTAAGAGTACAAAATTGTGATTCTGTAAAGGCAATATTTGGGGTGGGATCGTTGTCTTCCCCTTTCTCTATTCCCTTGAAAACATTGACATTGCAACAACTCCCTATTTTGGAGAATGTTTGGAGCGAGGACCCTTATGAATTTCTCATCTTCCAATCTCTGCAACACGTCTATGTTCGAGGATGTGGAAGCTTGAAGAGCTTGTTTCCAACATCGATGGCCCATGGCAGACTTGAAACCCTCGAGGTACTGGACGTGGGAGTTTGTGCGGGATTAATAGAAATTGTTGCAAAGGATGACACAGTCCTAAGAGGGGCAACTTCAAACTCAGTTATATTTCCAAACCTAACCACGTTGGGTCTATGGAGTTTGCCACAGCTCAAGTGCATCTATCCTGGATTAGACTATCCGGAATGGCCAAAGTTAAAGGTTTTTGAAGTATATCATTGTGATCAATTGAGAATCTTTCCAACAAATATGGAAGCTATTGTCTCAATTGAAAAGGTATTTTTCCTCTTACATATGTTAATTTTTTTTTAATTTGATGTGGCAACAATGACGTCCTCTTTAGTTGTGATTTTGGCCTTTTAATTCATATTTTGGTTTGTCCTCAACCAAAGTTGAACTATTCTTTTAAAAAACACTTGAAACTCAAAATATTGTTCATTTCTTTGATTAAGAAAAGAAAATGTCTGAAATAGATCTAACAACAATTTGGTTATTACCAGGGTTTTCCCAACCTAGAACAATTGTCAATGAACAAGGCAGACATCGTGAATATTAATCGGCAAGGAAAGTGGGAGGCAAACTTCATTCAGAATGTGAAATTTCTCACATTACATTGTTTCCATGAGGACACAGATGGATTTCCATATGAACTCTTCCAAAAGTGGTCATTTCCCAATTTACAGAAGCTTCAAGTGGCATGTGGTAAGTTCAAAGAGATTTTCAGTTCTCAGAGACCTGATATGGATCTTGATAATGACATGTTTGCACATCTCAAAGGATTGGAATTAACTTATCTAGAATATCTAGAATCTATTGGATTAGAGCAGCCATGGGTAGGCCCAATTCTTGAAAATCTAGAAACGTTGAAAGTAGGCCAATGTCATGGTTTGAGGAACTTGGTACCATCTGCTGTATCTTTCTCAAAGTTAAAGGAATTGGTTCTAAATGATTGTCGAGGATTGGTACATTTGTTCACATTGTCAACGGCAAGGAGTCTAGTTTTACTAGAGGTGCTGTCTATTGAAAGTTGTGCATCCATACAAGAAATAGCGTCAAAAGAAGGAGATGCATCTCATGAAGATGATATAACATTCAGCAACCTTAAAAGATTGTCTCTTCTGTCTCTCCCAATGCTTGGCTGCTTTCACTCTGGGAATTCAACATTGAATTTCCCGTGCTTGGAACTTGTCTTCGTCCGTCAATGTCCCAAAATGAGATTTTTCTCCAATGGAACCATAAATTCAACTGAGCATCTACGAGTTTCAACCGGGGCTGTTGAATACAAAGATTTCCCCCCACAACAATTCACCAGCTCAAATCTAAATGTTTCCATAAATTTGCTTTTCCCTTTACAGGTAAGTGTGATCCCATATTCCCATTTCTTTATTCATTTTTGAAGCTTTGCACCAGGCGTATGATATTTGTTTTCAAATTTCTATTATATGGATTATTGCTGTTCTCTTTCCCAAAAAAATTAATCACATATGCTCACATTATCGAAAAATGCTTCAGGAGATAACTACAAGATTTTATTTCAAAGTTAAAGAATATTTATCGTAATGTTTTTCAAATACATATCTTCCAAGAATCATGCTAAATTGCTTTTAAAATTTCTCCATTTATCTTTTCCTTCACAGCACATCTTTACTGTTAGATGAAATTTTGAACTCTCCTAATATAATATTTGACAAAAATATTATTAAAATATAAACTTAGAAAAATAAATAAATTCGAATTTTAACATTTGAATTAGCATCTCAATAAAAAAATTATTATGAAACTTATAGAAATAACATAACTGAATTGTTTTGCTCGAGCAGCTTGAACAATTTACATGTGGCGTGCAAGATTTAAAGCTTGGAGATCACCCTGAGCTTGGAGATATATGGCATGGTGCAATGTCGGTCCCAAATGGAGGCTTC